TCCCTACATTCTTAATTGCCAGGATCTCCTAGAGCAATTTGTTGCTAAACCTGTATTTATTTTACCAATTTAAAATTGCTTGGGTGTTTCCTCTAATTTCTTCTGTAATAACTGACTACAAACCCCAAACTCCTTCCTTTCTCTCTCTTGGGCTCCTTCCCTCTGGAATAAATACATTCCACAACGTTTGCACCACGGTTTGTTTTCCTCAGGTATCTACGCATTTATCTCTTCTCTGGACTAAGCAGGACTAAGCTGCTTATTCTCTCCTCTGACCTCATTTCTAATAATTTGTGTCGCTGTTTTCCCTTTTCCCTGCTCTCCCCTCGCAGGATCTCTGCTGCAGATGAGGAAAGCTTACAGCCTCCCATCAGCTGAGCAAACAACAACAAAAAAATGACAATTTCACGCAGCTATTAGCATTAAGCTACTAATTAGACTGAAAAAAAACCACAACCCACCACCTTGTGCATCCCCGGGGGGGTGAGGAGGGCTGGATCTTCACTTACTGCATTCCCAGCTTCGGCGGCCAGCCGGGCAGCGTACCTGGCGATCAGCCTGTGCTCCTCGTCCAGCCGGCCGGGGCTGTCCAGGACACTGCTGGGGAAAAGCCAAAACACCCCATCAATACACTCACATCCAGGGATGGCAGAAAGAAGATGCATTATTGCAAAGAGAAAGTGATAGGGAAAAGAGAAGTCATGCTGGAAATAATCCAGAATATTCCCTTTTTCATCCTGCTTCCAAAACGGGGAACTGCTCCGAAGCCTTTCTGCCCTGTAGCACTTTCTCCAGGATTCATGTCTTCCAGTTTTAAATGATTGAAATAATTTGGTTTTCAACAATTAATAAACATGTATCACCGTAATTTAATTTGTTTCTTGAGATTTTCTGCAATATCTTTCAGTTTACTCAAGGGAAAAAAGGATAAAAAGCTGAATGAGGAGGGAGAAAAGTTTTGTCCTTGGGAGATGCTGGATGACAGGTGTCCAAGTCAGGAGGATTTCCAGGAAGAAGAGCAATGGGAACTATGCTGACTTGGGAAGAATGGACTCAGTCACTGAACAACAACAACTTAAACACAAATAATACTTTGTGAATCAGCTTGGCTTACACCTGAATTACAATCACCTTACACCACCCCAACATACAACATGCGGTAATTTGAGACTTCCTTCCCACCTCCACAAGCAGAGGAGGGAACGGTTCCAGATGCTCCACACAGACAGGCCGGGAAATGTTGCTGAAAAAAAATTATTTAATAATATTTCCAATAATTATTAGCAACGGTGTGAGCACCCTGAGGTGCCAGAGAAAGGGACTATGAACTTTGAAACAGGAAAAGTAGAGACAGGAGATGGGAGAAAGCCCCAAGAGTAGGAAGTGAAAGGCAGCACCTCAATCTTCCTCACAATTACCAGCAGCATCATCGCCTCTGGGCATGTTAATCATTAATGGGATTAATCCAGCCTGATAACACAGCCAGTGCCTGTAGCACTGAACCACTTTCTACTCTTCACAAATCTCTTTTTAACTTGAAATACACAGGGAGAAATTATAATCTTCAAGCTGTATTAATTGCAACCAGTCAATGCTAAGATCTAGCACCAGATCCATTTTGGCAGGGAAAAGCCAAATCAACAACTTTTAAAGTCAACACCCAAGCAGATTTCTCATCCCAGTCTTTCTTTCCAAGGGAAGCCACCAAATTAGCTATAAAAACTAATCCATAATTTACTGGAAACAACCAGGTTTCCAGGTGGAAATGACCCATGTGTTGCAACACAGCCTTCCCAAGGCTATTCCTGACATTTGACAGAGCATTCCCAAACCCAGGACCGGCTCACGGCATTTGCAGCATCTGCACAGGCTTACAGGGAAATTCAGGATCAGAATCACACCCCAGAAAGCAGCAAAGGAAGAGACACATGCCCAGCACCCAGAAAAACTATTTTTAGTCCACATTACCACAAGATAATTTACATTTCTTCAAGCTTAATTTAATACATTTATGTTGACATTATTTAAATTTCATAGATTCATTATTACCTTATTTAAAAAAATCAAACCTATATTGCATACATTACATTTATTAAAAAAAAACCAACCCAAACAGCTGCAATTTCTTTTCTATAACACCAAATTTAACAACTTGATCTCTCTTCAGACTCTGAAAGTCTGCCAGATGACATGTTTGGGACGGCATGGAAACACGGGACTGAATTTAACAGAGGTATAGCTACAATTCATACTGCTGGCTTTACAACAAGTATAAATTGTGTTGCCTCTTCATTTGTCCTGCTGGGTGAAGACCTGAAGATGTTCAGCTGAACAGTGTAAAGGAGGGAGTGGGGGAAAGGTGAGCTAAGACAGTAGGAAAATATATTAAAGAAAATTAAAAACAGAGTCTTTACACCAGGCTTTATGAACCACACACACATGCTAATTAGTTTTCTGGTTGTTTATTTTTGTTGTTGTTGAGGGACAATCTTTCCCATCCTACCTTCTGAATTTGGTAATGGTTTTGTTTAGCTTTCCTTTGCAATTTGGTCTGTACAAATTTTGGGTTTTTTTCTGCTTTTACAGGAATGCAGATGGTTCCATCCCTTCTGCCCTTTCCATTATCTGGTATTTCCTCATGCCTTTCCCAGGCCCTGGAATGATCACCTCTTATCTAAGTGAATTAGAAAATAGTTATTGAGAAGGTCTTATGTACTTGAAGAAAACCTGAAATTTAAAAGAAATAATAATCCTTTTCTGTTTGCTTTTAGAAATGCTGTATAGATGGAGAGGACATGGAATTCAAGTACATCTCCAGGCCCTCCTGCTTATTCTTTAATTTAAACAGTTTGAACAAATGAACCACTACTGAACCTGCAGCTGTCGGATTAGCAGAGAGGGTGGCAAACACAACCTCCAGTTCTTTACACGGTTCCAGGAAGGAAAACTCAAGTCTTTTGTAGTCATAACTTCTGTGGAGATATTGCAAAGGATCCCTACCCCAAACACCCTTCTGTGGTGGGAGCCCCACAGAGCTCCATGTCCTGAGGGACAGAGGCTGCCCCACAAAGGGGGAACCTTCTCCCGCTCAAACAATTCCCATGGGATTCGGTGCTGCCTGCGGGAAGGTCCTGGAGGGAAAGCCAGCACAACAAGGAGAGGACATCAGCTCCAGAAGAATGGGAAAGGCAGCAAAGGGGAAGAATAAGCCTGGCTCAAGCCCAGAGCTCAGAAGTGGGTAGGGTACGTGGCTGAGAGTTCAAAGGTGTTCACAGGAGCAGAATTTTGGAAAAGCAGTATTATAAATTTCTCAATCTTAAAATGTAGTGCTAGGTGGCTTCATAGACTCACAGAATGGTTTAGGTTGGAAGAGACCTTAAATATCATCTAGTCCCAACCCCCTGCCATGGGCAGGGACACCTCCCACTAGACCAGGTTGCTCCAAGCTCCATCAATCCTTGAACACTTCCAGGGATAGGGCAGCCACAGCTGCTCTGGGCAACCTGGGCCAGGGTCTCACCACCCTCACAGCAAAGAATTTATTCCTCAGATCTCATCTCATTCTCCCCTCTTGCAGCTTGAAAGCATTCTCCCTCCTCTTGTCACTCCATGATGCTGAGAAGTAGCAGAGACCAGCAGAAGAAGGTATGGCTCATTCTTTCAGTGCTGGCTAGAAGGACCACACATCCCAGGTGTCAACTGATGGTAAGCCAAGGGTAAGGGTCTTGGAGACAGAATATTTTTAAGAAAAGTGACTTTTTCTTTCCTTTCTCATTTTAAATTGGGAGTGCTGCAGAGAATTGCAGTTTCAGAGTCTGAAATTTAAAGGAAACCAAATGAAACCAGCCAAGCAAGTAACCACCCATCCATCCACCCAGATCAACCAACCCAAATGAAAACACATATATCAGGGGCCAGCTGTCTTCTGCAGGAAATGCAGAATACAAAATACATCAAAATAATGACACTCTGGGTAAGGCTATTTTATTTTTCTGGTGAAAAGTGGAGCTGAACCAGGGGCTGGGGAAAAGAAGCCGTGCTGAATGATGGGAAAGGTAAGTTATGAATGCTGAGCTTAAGAAGTATGTAACAAACAACGAACCAAGAAATAAAGCACAACTCATTGGCTCCATAAGCTTGTATATGGGATTACTTGCTGCACTCTGCAGCTGTCTTTGCCTGCAGCACATCCTTTAGGGTGGGGATTTTCTATTATTTCTTTGAAAAGCACTTAACCAATTTGGATTGCTGCCACAACAATACAGTAGGTAAAAGAAAGAAAGAAAGAAAGATGTTATTGTAAGATAAATGAGGAACACTGAGCTTTCTTTGCTATATTCCTTATGTAGCTCAGATGGGCTTTTTGGTTGGAGGACATAAGTGAATTATGTAATTTTTTAAATGATGAAAAATCTCAGGGATCCAGCTTAGCCATGGCTCCAAGGCCATCAAGGTTTGGCTGAAAGACACAAGGAGATGCTGGGCAATAAGGAGCAAAAGTAAGTACACACAGCATCAGAGATTGGAAGTAGAAGAAAGGTTAAGCTCAAATTTGCAGTGGGGCTTTTTTAAAAAGCGTCAGCACAATTAATCCCTGGGACAGACTGTCAATGACATGAGCAGCTTCTCCATCACACTGTGCTCTGAAAGCTACATTTTGAGAGAAAAAAGGTGTTAGGTTCAGCCAAGGGATGAAAGGGGTGATGGTTTTAAACTAAAAGAGGGGAGATTCAGACCAGATTTAAGGAAGAAATTGTTTATGCTGGTGAGACACTTGCCCAGGATGCCCAAAGAGGTAGGAGATGGACATGCTGTCCATAAGAGATTCATTGTTAGTCAGCCAGATACAGAGGAGATTTGGGAGGGCTGGATGGGATACCCTGAGCATCACCACTCAGCTCACCAAAAGTAGAAAGATCTACTGTTACATGAGATTTTTGTGGGGTGAGGGGAAGATCAAAAGAAGGAACAGAGGAGTACAGATCCCATCAGTCTCTTTCACTGACTTGGAAGACCCTCCCATACACAATGAAATTAGGATTTAAACTCTTTCCTTCACATTTGGTTTCTCCGAGGAGTATGCTGTGGCTCTGGTAACACTGCCAAGTGATATTGGTTTTAATATGAAGACCTGAAAGACTGAAAACCTTTACTCCAACAAGTTATAACATAGCAGCAACACACCATACTTCAATCTGTCACATGCTCTTCAAGATGCACTCCTTTGTACCTCCCAACCTTCTGATTACAGTCATTGAGTGAAGGTGAGAGTCTAAAATTCCTTCATTTTTATTGTCTGGTGGCCAATATTATGGGCTTTCTGTTCATAGCAGGTGATAGCAGACAGCAGTGACTCACTGCCAAGAAAAAAACTGACTTTCCCCAGAGATCCAGACAGCCAGAACAGGATCAATACAGCAGTGAAATACAAATCTCTACATGACAGAGTGATGAAATAGGACCCCAAAAATATCATTCAGAGGATGACAACATGGAGAGAGCAAGGCCTTGCCATATAGCCTCCAAATCACTAAAGCTCCTTTTCCTTTCCAGCACAGCTCTGGCTCTTAAAAGGCAACATTTAATTAGATCCAAAAGTGGAAGAGGGAAAACCTCCCAGCTGTGTCCTGTGATGAAATGGGAGAGCTGCAGTTGGAGCTTTAGGGTAAAATTTCTCTACGTAGATACCGCCATGAAATATAAATGTGCACAAATACTAAAGCTGAGGTGAAAGACATCAATTATTCAAAGCATTAACATTTTTTTGGGAAGGCACTGGCAGAAACGGTCACATTAAGCAGGTTGTGTTGATGGGATAGGAAGAGTTTAGCTGAGGCAAAGAGATGGAGACAGGTTGGGACATCTTCCTGTGACTGTGTTTGGGGTGGAGAGGTAAAAGCAATGAGGAGAAAGAACAGAGCTGTCATCAAATCCCAGACTGGTTTGGGTTAGAGGGACATTAAAGCTCAGCTAGTGCCACCCCTCTGCCATGGGCAGGGACACCTCCCACTAGACCAGGTTGCTCCAAGCCCCATCCAACCTGGCCTTCAACACTGCCAGGGATGGGGCAGCCACAGCTGCTCTGAGCAACCTGGGCCAGGGTCTCACCACCCTCACAGCGAAGAATTTCTTCCTCAGATCTCATCTCAATCTCCCTTCTTGCAGCTTGAAATCATTGCCACTCTTCCCATCACTCCCTGCCCTTGTAAAAATAGGACAATGTTGGCAGGAGAACCAATGCGTATGAGCTGTCTGTGAAAAAAATTAAGGTGGAAATCAGACAGTTTGCTGCTGGTGAAAGACAAGACTGCAAAATGGCCACGAAGAGAAAAATTCTCTAACCCTTTTGGGAGGATGTTCACCAGTTTGTGACCAGGATTCTGCAATGCAATGAATGCATTGGAGTGGGACTGGACACAAACTGCTCCCTTCCCCTTTTGTATTTCCCCCTGTGCATGTTTCCCTGAGCACCTCTGCTCTGGATACAGGCTGACAGAGTTGGGGATTTTCAGCCTGGAGAAGGGAAAGCTTCAGGAAAACCTTAAAGCACCTTCCAGGACCTGAACAGCCTATAGGAGATCTAGGGAAGAACTTCTGATAGGGGCAGGGAGTAATGGGATGAGGGAGAATGGCTTTAAAGTGTAAGAGAGGAGATTGAGATAAGATCTTAGGAAGAAATTCTTTGCTGTGAGGGTGGTGAGACACTGGCTCAGGTTGCCCAGAGCAGCTGTGGCTGCCCCATCCCTGGCAGTGTTGAAGGCTGGGTTGGATAGGGCTTGGAGTGAATTGGTCTAGTGGGAGATGTCCCTGTCTATTGCAGAGGGGTGGGACTGGGTGAACTTTAAGATCCCTTCCCACTCAACCAGACTGGGATTCTGTGATTCTGTATTCGTTTCTCTGCATACACATCAGTGCATTTTGCACATTTTATGTCCTTCCAGGTGATCTCAGACAACACTCAAGACATTTTCCCCTTTATTTGCCAACAGAGGCCAAATACCTTTGATTGGACTATCACTTCCCAGAGGAAGCAGCATCAGGGTGCCCGTCCCTGCCCAGGGGAGACCCCTGCCCTAGCACTAACCATGCACCGCTCTGCAGTCGGGTCACGTAGCTGGCGATCAGTGCATGCTCATCAGCTACTCGGCCGGCAGCCTCCGGGATGCACTGTAACCTCCTAGTGATGAAGGCAAAAGAGAGCAAACAGAACATGACATGAATACAAAGCAAATAATTCATGAACGGCAACAAAACAAACAGTGAAAAACAAAACCAAACGGATGAGTAATCAAAAGTGTGACAGAACTGACCCCGCTGCTGCCAAACAGCTCCATGAACAAGCCAAACCACACTGGGCTGCTTTTTTATCACCATGACTAAAAGCAGAGCTGAAAGCATTCAGAATCTTCTGGGTTTTTTTCTCATAGTAATAAATGAAAATACGAGGAAAGCGATAAAAAGAAATAAAAATTAGTGGTTGATGTCAACAGAATTACCCTCTAACAGAGACTCATTAAATGATGCCATATTTTCTTTTTTTTTGAGGGCTCATAAAAATGAAGTTGCTGTAGTTTTGAGTATTTCTACAGACAGAGACTGAATGCAAGAAATACCAGCCAGAAGTAAACACACAGAAATAACTACTTCTCTAGATGGTCCAACTAAACCACATTGATTTTTACCACACCTGTAACAGCAACATCTCAAAACCCCTGAGAGAAACCAGCAAAGTGGTTCTGGTTTTATCCCAGGCAGCCACATCTTCTCTTCCAGCTCCAAAGATGGATACACCATCTGTGCTACAGGATTTCCTCCACATCCATAGGGAGTTTTGCCCATGGGACTCACTGCTGCTCTAGCACATGGAATGGTGCATGTTGGACAAAGCACTGCTCTACTGGGAGATGAAAAGTCCTGTACAGGTGCGAGATGGGAGTGTTCCCTACAAAATGATCCTCCAACATGTTATCACTGTTATTTTAGCATTTCTTCCTAACATTCAAGTGAAGGAGAAATCCCATTTTTCATCTCCATGTCAGGCATTCAAGCTGCTCTTTCAATTTACAAACCACAGTTAATCCTTTCTCCAAACAGGTGCAGGAAGTATTTGTTTCAGAAGCTTTTATAAATATGGCATTTATTGCTTTCAGCATCACTGTACTCATATTATGAAAACAGAATTCATATTTTTCAGACACACAAACTCTTTTCTTCCCTGTTATGTGCAGCAACATGTCAGAGAAGTCTGCCAGAAGCAGAGCAAGACCTTATAAAAAAGAAGCAAACCGGAATTTCCCACATCAACCCCTCCAGGCAACGAGCAACCTTTGGAATAATGGGTTTGTAATAAGAAAAGAGACTTCACATTAACCACTGCGCAGCAGAATTTTTAAGCAACCTACACTTGGTGAAGTCTGACTGCTGGCAAGAGCTGAAAAGCTTGATTTTAAATCTGCTTTACAGCAGGGACATTGCTGCAACCACAACAACGAAGGTCCCAAGACCTTTTTTCATTACAACTCTTTAGAAAAGAGAAAAGCCCAGCAGAAATGACCACAATCTTAACCCAAAATGAGAATAGCTTCCTGATTTGGAAGAAAAATAAAACTTAGATCAAATTAACATGTGTCTGAACACCATTCCTAACATGTATCTGATTTTCCACTCATATTTCAAGCACAGGTGAGCCTGTCCAGGGGAACCTCAGTCCCTCCAGAGAACCACTCAGCAGGATCCGAGCTTCAGAACATCACAAAATGCAGAATTAAGGTGGTGAGAGGAGGAACCCCCTGCACATACTCCAGCTGCTGCACTCTGTGAGGGTAGACTATGGGGTAGACGTTAGGAAGGAATTCTTTGCTGTAAGGGTGGTGAGACACTGGCCCAGGTTGCTCTGAGAAGCTGTGGCTGCCCCATCCCTGGAAGTGTTGAAGGCCAGGTTGGATGGGGTTGGAGCAAGCTGGTACAGTGGGAGGTGTCTCTGCCCATGACAAGGGGGTTGGAACTGGATGAGCTCCTCTCTGACCTTGATAAAGGCAGTTCTGCCCCCTCTCCTCTGTTCATTTTCCCCAGTGAATCACTGGTATATCAAAAGGCAACTTTGGATCAGCCCAAGCCAGATGTGAATTTAGATACAATTTGCAAAACAATGGTCTGCAGCCCACCCTCTCTTCAAGGGGGGGGATCAAACAGATGAGACAGCAAATGTTTTCCTGAACTGCAAGTGTGCTGCTGTGCCATGTAACCTGGTCTGAAATGGACCTGCATAACTTAACAAGCCTCTGGACCTGCAGTTCCCACCACACATCTAAAACCTCCAGGGCTGAGAACCAAATCTGGTGCTTCTCCTCCCCACACCCCAAGTGGACCTGAAGTCCTCTCACCAACCCCTTCCCCACAAGGACCACGATAAGGACTCTCCTTCTCTGGAAGGTCAAGCTCTCAACACCACCAGCTGCTTTTGCACTTGGAACGTGTCCATAACCTTCTTAGAATCTGCTGCCCAGAAGCTAACACAGCACATCAGGTGGAAGCCACCACTACAGAATCATTGAGCTCTCCTAGACATGGTGCTCCTGTTACTACAAACCCCCATCACATCATCATCCTCTTTTGGGGGGGATTTATGTTGCTTTGCATTCAGTTCCTAATCCACTACAATTTCCCACTTTTCACTATCAGGTCCCTCTAATTGGTCATTCTACAATTCTCATTCATGCATTTAATTTTTATTTTCTGTCACTGTGAGTTGTTCTTATTAATTTCATCTTATTGATCTACAGGACCCCTCTGAAGACTCCCCAGTAGCTCCCCTGCATAGCATCAGTGTGAACTTTCTGTACACATGTTCCCTGTTTCATCACGCCAAGACATAAACTGAGTAATGCTGAATGGGGAACAGACCCCGTGAGATCCCACCTGACACGTGCTCCCTCTCTGCTAGAAAAATATTGATATTTTCTTCCTCTGACTGCAATTTTTCCACTGGTGTCACACCCACATAACAGCAGTTTCAACCAGTCCACGTTTACCTAGTTTATTTATGAAAATACCATATGGGATAGTGTCAAAAGCTTTATGAGTCAATAAATTTAAAATTAGTGCGTCCCCCTCCTTCACGAGGCCGCCCACCCAGGCAGAACCATCCAATTCTCATTCTTTGACATGATTTGTTCTCCACACAGATGCGTCAGCTATTTTTATTCCCTACTCCTCCACGTGGGAGTGGACGGACTGTTTTATAACGTGTATCCCTTTGACTTTCAGATACATATTTGATGATAGGACTGGTGGGAACGGTTTCAAGCTGCAAGAGGGGAGAGTGAGATAAGATCTGAGGAAGAAACTCTTTGCTGAGGAAGAAATTTGAAGAGACCCTGGCCCAGGCTACCCAGAGAAGCTGTGGCTGCCTCATCCCTGGCAGTGTTGAAGGCCAGGTTGGATGGGGCTTGGAGCAATCTGGTCCACTGGAAGGTGCTCCTGCCCATAGCAGGGCGGTAGGACTGTATGACCTTTAAGGTCTCTTCCAACCCAAACCATTCTGTGAGTCTATGATTTCAGCAAAAAACCCAAAACTTCTTCATATAGCCTGGGAGCAGAGAAACAGCAATGTCATCTCTTGACACCACAAAGGATGGTGGCTGGTGGGGATAGGAACATTCTGGGTGCATTCTGCTGCAGATGCAGCCACAGATCTATTTGCACCTCTGTGAAAATGTCTTTAAAACCTGAAGCCTAAGGAAGTTCATTGGTGAAAAAACTCCTTTAGAAAGTAACATTCTATTCATCCAGCACTGTGAGTCTTACCTTTGTAGAATTCCATACTGGCTTGGGTTGGAAGGGACCTTAAAGATCATCCAGTCCCAACCCCCTGCCATGGGCAGGGACATCCCCCACCAGACCAGGTTGCTCCAAGCCCCATCCAACCTGGCCTTCAACACTGCCAGGGATTCGGCAGCCACAGCTGCTCTGGGAAAGTGATTGGTCACATGAATGAGGGTTTGCTTTGTTCTGCTTAAAAAAATATGAGTATATCCCTGGTAGAGAATCTCAGAACTACACTACAGTGACAGAATCCCTTATTTTTCAGAAGACAGTGTCAAAGACAAAATACCGCCTCCTCCACCCAGACCTTAAAGATCATCCAGTCCCAACCCCCTGCCATGGGCAGGGACATCCCCCACCAGACCAGGTTGCTCCAAGCCCCATCCAACCTGGCCTTCAACACTGCCAGGGATTCGGCAGCCACAGCTGCTCTGGGAAAGTGATTGGTCACATGAATGAGGGTTTGCTTTGTTCTGCTTAAAAAAATATGAGTATATCCCTGGTAGAGAATCTCAGAACTACACTACAGTGACAGAATCCCTTATTTTTCAGAAGACAGTGTCAAAGACAAAATACCGCCTCCTCCACCCAGGTTAGCCACACACTGTCACTGAATTTTTCAAAGCAGCATTAAAATGTTATTTTGTAGTAGGTTTCCCCCACTCTTCAAGTAGCAGCATCTACCACACACCAAAAACATGTTACACTGTGCCAAGCCAGAGCCAAAAGAGAACAAGAAATAACGTTAATCAAGCTCCCTCTGAAGGGAGAGGGGAAGCAAGATTAAATGGGAAGAGAAAAATGAGGTCAGAGGAATCTCCACAAAGCTGCAGGAGGCTTCTTCTTGTCCTGCTGCTCAGGTGTGATGGCTGAAGGTTGGGTTCTGGGTGCTTGGTCATGACTGGGGCTCAAACATTTAACTGCATATCAGTGAGAACAGGGTTTGAAAGGTTGTTGGCTCCTGCCCCAAATTTTGCACACTAAGACTTGGCCCCACAGCTTTATAAGCAACTCAAGAAATTATGAAGGTATATACATGGTGCATTTGGTGTCTTAAATTCATTTCTGTTCAGAAAATCTACCAGGAAAGCCAAGTAAAATAGGCAATTAATTTTAAATCCTGTAATTTCCAGCAGGAAATCTCTGCAAATTTCTGTTACGCTGGCTCACAACTTTATACATCTTTATAAAACTGCACAGTGCTGCTCTGGCTACTGAGAAGGGAAAGAACTTTTGAAGGAGCTGCCAGGACGTAATCTAGAGGGATCTCTTGTTTGCTGTCATATTACTTTCCCCCATGATTGATTTAAATAGATGTTAAGGTCAAAAAGGATAATTACCACCCTTCCC